CTTTTGAAATAAACGTCGATGGACAACCGATCGAAGATGCTTCAAGAGTGAAGTATAGCACAATAGAACACAAGTACATAAACAATTTGGATGATGAAGTTGATAAGAGAAAGAGTATGATGATGGATATTCATGGACTGGAATTGCCTTTAGGGAAGAATTTTATTATGTCCTGGAAAATGTGAACCAAAATGTGTGAATAAATTGCCTATGTCAAGGTTTTAGTAATGAAAAAGGAGCATACAAATAAACTATGCTGTTCGGACTCTTTAAGAATTCTACATTGTTTATCATATGAGAAGATTGATTAAGGTATTTTTAATATATTTCTTTTAGAATCTACTACTCATTTAAAAAGGTCATTCAATATTTCGATCAGTTCAGAACTCACAAATTGTATCATACAAGGGATAACTTAGTTCAAGTTATACCGATAAAGGCATATATAAGTTCAGTTTACAGAACCAACAAAGTTATGTTGTAAGAGACCAGTAGCGAATTTCTAGCCTAAAATATGAGACACGTGAACCTGTGGTCTCTCCGTGAAACCAAGTATTTTATGTATATATTTTTTTATAACATTGGTAATAATATTATCTGCTAATTCATGTTAAAAGAAGGCTAAATGGTATACTTGGTTGATAGTTGCGTTCTTAGCCTAGAGGACTAAGGATGAATTTCCATTTTAATACATTTTTTGCTTCTTTTTTTTTAGTGGTGTACCATGTTGAAACCCTAGATTCCCCTCTGTTAAAAAGGTGTATCTTATTCCTATTTCCAAAACTTATGGCAATATTTTCTAAGTTTATGCTGATTGAATTAAATACTACACAACTTATACCAGATAGCTTAATTCTTATATTACTTATGTCGGATAAGATAATAACTCTCTAAACTTATGCCTTATGAAATTAGGTCATAGATGAATGTTTTGACTCACAAATTTTCATTAAATAAGTAGTAAAATAAAAAAAATAAAATAAGAGCAATCCGTGCAAAGACTTCATTATTAATTGATATTATCTAATAAATTATATATATTTTTAATTTATGACACAAAAGAACTTCATTATTAATCGAAATTATCTAATAAAATCATGTTTCTTTTATTTAGAAGTTATAACACAAAAGTCATTTAAGGGCTCGTTTGGCCATGCAATATAGAATCATGATATGATATCATAATATGAAATCATAAGATGAAATTGAAGTTTTGTTAGGACATGTGATATTGAAATTTTTGTGTTGTATATTTCCTCATAAACATAAGAATCTCATAAGTTGTAAAACTATTAAAATAGGCTCAGTTGTTTATTCAATCTTACCAAATAAACAAAAAATTATAAAATCGCAAAATAAATTATTACAAAGCTATTTGTTCTCCGCTTAAGTAACCATTTCATCTAACTTTAATTCAATAAAAATATTGAACATAAATTGTAGTGTACTAGTCTTTAACACAATCCTCCCACATAGTACAAACAATGTCCTCACGTTGAACTTGCATTTCTCAATCATATGACGTAAAAGACGAACCAACATTGTTATTTTGAGCCATTTGCTGGTCAATATCATTTGCAACTATATTTTCATGCTCATAGACCATAAATATTTCATCACTCCTTTGGTATTCTCGCAAATAATTATGTAACACTGTACAAGCTATGTCAACTTTCACTTGTGTGCCAATATCATAATGGTTCATGTCTTGTTTCACTTGTGTGCAATTACACATTTTCAGTGCATTAATTTCGTGTTAAAATCAAATATATTGGAAGTAATAATTATCAAACATACATCACCAATTTTGTCCTTTTTCATATTGAATTGCTTTAAACATTTTCATATGTAGCTGAAAGAGAAGTTTTTTATTATGATAAACCAAAAAAGTATTACTCCCTCCTTTCTTATTCATATTCACCAAATCAATTCCTACTTTATCATTTATATTCACCAAATTTAAAGTAATAATAAATTTTATGTTGGTGAGACTAATAAATTTTAAAAAGTAATGATGTTATTATAAATTTTATTTACATATGAAATAAATGGTTTGTAGATATAATATGAGGTTGTTTTAACAAAATATAAACTTGTGGGTCAATATTTATATTTAAACAAATCCCAAATCATGATATGAAATTCCCAAATCATGATTTTTAGAGAATATGAGATTCCATCTCATGATATGAAATCATGAGATAGAATCAACATGAAACCACATGTCTAAACACTGATTTCATTTCACGATTTCGTATCATGATATGATATCACATGACCAAACGCCTACTCACTATACCTACTACACCGAAAAGGTCACTCAACCAAATTTCTCAAAAAACTTTCAGTATGCCCATTCTTCATCACATGTAAATAAATTTAGGTCCATCTTTCACTGCTTTTTTGTTTCACTTAACCTGGTCCTTTTATGTGTACTCTTCTAGGGGGGCAAAAGTAGGTCACTCAATTAATATAATTTCAAGCATTGAATCTTTTTATGTATTTATTGGAGATATATTGTATGTCACGTTATTGGGACTTGGCAGCCATTGGTAGAAGTCAAATTATTTAATAGTAGCCCACATTATGTATTGGCCTACACCAACCTATGTATGAAAGGGAAGGCTTTGTACTGACCATGCCCAATAATTGTACATGTCTAAGGTTTCCCCCCCTCAAAAGATGATTAATACAACAATAATTTTAAGAATATACTTTTAATCTAGTGTAGGGAACTAATTCAAATACATGTTAGAAGAGGAGAGACGCGAGCAAAATTTGAAAGAGAGAGGTTATATATCAATAAATATAATTAAATATAATTGTATCAAAGTTGTATTAGATTGTATCAAACAACAAAAATGTATCATATATACTTGTTTCTTGTGTATTCACCTTGTATCAACGAATTATATCAAGGTTATATGTTCCTTATGTATTCGCTTTGTATCAAGTGTATCAATATAAATATAGTTATATCAAGTGTATACATCTGTATCATTTGTATATATTTATATCATGTGTTATATACTCTTTTAGAATATGATTGATACAATATTGTATCTCCCCCTCATTCAGAAATACTGAGAGTCTAAATATGAAATCAAAGAGCAGAAAAGAAAGAAGAGAGGTCTCCACCATTTCTAACTTGATACAAATCTCTTGCCAAAATTGTGTCAGTAATATCCCCAATTTTCAAGCAGTCGAATAAAAAGGGAGGAGAGAGACGATCAAGAGAGGAACAACCGGAGGGAGTAGAGAGGAGAAAGAGAGAAAGAGGGGGGGGGGGGGGATCTGCTCAAGTAGACCTTTAACTTGATCTCATTTCACATTTATACCCTCCAACTTTGGATCTGCACAAGCAGACACTTAAACTTGTATAAAGTCAAATAAGCAAATACATGAATTCTACGTGACATAATACACGTAGAACACCTCGTAGGACTCAAATTGTCATGTGGAATTCTACGTAAGATGCATGTGTTTATTTGATGAGCTTTATAAATGTTTAAGTGTTTGCTTGTGCACACTCAAAATTAGATGACATAAATGTAAGTTGATGCCAAGTTAAATGACATATTTATGTATTATGCCTTTATAATTTATTTCACTTCATTTAAGCACATATTAGTCTTAAATTGTAAAATATGAAAGTTATCTTCATTTTAATTTACATATAAAATACAAACTTTTAACTAATCAATTAAAATAATATATAATTAAAAATACGTAATTCACCAAATTTATTCCAAGATAATTTTAATACCATATTACTATTCTATCCAGATAAAAAATAACTTATCTCAATACTAATTATTAATTTCAAAATATATTATTCCAAACTTACCAATCAAAATAGTATCATAATTTAATTAGAAAACTATTTAATGTTATCTTTCGCACCCGACCTCTTGTACTATTGAGATTGTGTGCCAATTGCCAAATGTTGTCTGAAACAAAATCAGAAATAAGCAGCCACCTAACAGTGACACTCCATTGCCACTAGGAGGGGACAACACACCTCTATTCTTTTCAGCACTTCTTTATTGTGCTTCATTTCTACAAAAAATTTGATTATTAAAAAACTTAGCAAAATCTTTTGTCTGATTCTGAAAATAAATAATTCTGAGTGTTTCTGACCATTGATTCCTAATCCTTTCTCTTTCTATAAATAGGAATATCTCATCCACTTTACTCCCTTTTTGCTCACTTTTTTGGACCAAGAACACCAAATTAACAAAGAAAAAATAGTGGGTTTTGAGAAATTTATGTCGGCAAGGTTTCATCTAGCTGTGATCGAATTTGGAGCACCATTAAAGCTCTGGTTTTCAGTTTCTTCACTTTTCTTGGTTGTCTGCGTGCAATTTTCCCCAATTTTATCTATGGGTTTGAGGCCCAAAAGGTACAATTTTACTTATCTTAAACCCTTGGTAGTATTTTTGTTCGATTTCTCGTATGGTTACTCAATTAATAGTTGATGGTCGTAAAAGTACGTTGAATTGTGGGGTTTTTTTTTTTGTTGGTGCTTTTGGAAGCTGATCTATTGTGGGGTTTTTTTTTTTTTTTTTTTTTTTTGCAGGAATTGTTCTGGAGCTGTATTTTTTGAGGGATTTCATATAAAGCAATTTTTACATCTTATTTTGCTGTTGAGAACGCCACTTACTTGATACAAAAAGTGTAATCTTTACAACTTTTTCCCTGTTTTTTCCTTTTATTTGCTGATCTATTGTGGTTTTTTTTTTTTTTTTTTTTTTTTGCAGGAATTGTTCTGGAGCTGTATTTTTTGAGGGATTTCATATAAAGCAATTTTTACATCTTATTTTGCTGTTGAGAACGCCACTTACTTGATACAAAAAGTGTAATCTTTACAACTTTTTCCCTGTTTTTTCCTTTTATTTTTTAGAAATTTTGAATTTTCCTTTTTTAAAGAACAAATTTTTGCTAATATTGAGGTTATGCTTAAGCCTTTGTCATCAAAATTTGAGAATCTTGGTAGAAACATGAAGAACAAAGTTGATACAAACAGATTAGTGAGGAAAATTAGGATTGTTTGTAATGATCCTGATGCTACTGATGATTCCTCGGACGATGAGAGGATCGATGATTCGAGGTGTAAGCGTTTCGTTAGAGAGATTAAGTTGCAGATTGGCAACTCTTTTAATCTTACAAAAGCCTCTGAGATTGAATGTTCATTTCAAGATAGTAACAATGGAGAGAAAAAAACAAAGAAAGAGGGTTTAGTTAAACCCCTGATTCAACCAAGGCCAGCAGGGGGTTTATTATCGAAATACAAAGGTGTTCGTCAACGAAAATGGGGAAAATGGGCTGCTGAAATTCGTGATCCGTTTAAAGGCAGACGGGTTTGGTTGGGTACTTATAATACTGCTGTGGAAGCTTCTCGAGCTTACGAATTGAAACGTCTTGAATTTGAAACTAGGGCGAAGAATAGTAGCACAAATGTGTCTAGGGAGAGTTCTGGTTCAATGGTCTCTGAGTATCAAAATCATGGCCAAAATGTTGCTAGTGGTGTCTCAGAGGACTATGCAGAAAGCTCGGTATCACGTACTTCACACTCCTTGTCATCATCATCAGTTCTTGAATTGGACACTTTAACTTCTGTATCCGCGTCTGCTCCAATTTTAAGACTTAATGGCCTAAACGATAATGAAAAGGCGAGCAATGTTGCGCCTTTGGAGGCTTATGTTGTCGAACAAGAAGTACCTGAGTTGCCTATACTGGAGGAAACTCTACCTCTGTCTCAAATTGGTGAAAGTATGGACCTTGATTTGGAGCTCGAGTCGTTCCTCATTGGCGCTGATGATTTCAATCAGCATTTGGATGAGTTTGTTGTCAATGATTTTGAGGACCCTCCGGTTTGTCTGATCGAGGGTGATGAGCAGTTGCCTACTGGTTTACCTGATTTTGATGACTTCAATTTTGATGGCTACAATGAATCCTTTTCTTGGATGGATGATGCTCCACGGACGAATGGAACGCCCCTCAATATAGCATGCCCGTAATTTTGCAGCTAGGTGATGAGTTTATGTTTTGGTAGTATTAGTACTAAGCGTCAAAAGAGTTGTCTGTCTCAAGAATCAGTTAATTAGATGCTCGAGACCGTGATTTTCCTTAATCGAGTTCTACTTGTTTGTTAGTTCTAAGAAGTTATCGAGTCAAGGGGATGTTTTTGTCGTTTTCAAAGAAATTGCGAGTCCCTTTGGGTGTTCCCGTGCTCTTATGAGCCGTCCAAAGGGCTTCAATCTCAATGTGCTTAGTCTTCGAGTGTTTGTTGCCTGATGAAAGGGCTTCAAACGGCTGTCATTTTATTCCCTATTATGCATCTTTTTTTGAACTATGATATCTATGATGAGTATGATATGATATCTCTCAAAGACCTTTTTAAGACAACTCTTTAGTTTTGTCTATACTTCTCCTTATTGATTCCCATAGTAAATTTATCTGTTTGATGCTTTCTTGGCCTAGTATACACTAGTTGTGTTAACCACTTCTTTTTGTCTCATAAGTTAGTGGATTCAAAACATTTCTTTCAAATCATTTCTGAAAAATGATTTTCTTGAGCTGAATGTCTATCGGAAACAACCTCTCTACCTCATAAAGGTAGGGATAAGGTTCCAGACTCCATTTATGAGATTTTACCGGATTTGTTGTTGTAAGTTAGTGAACTCGTAACATTTTTTTCAAATCATGTTATGGAAAGTGATTTTGTTGAGCTGAATGTCTATCGGAAACAACCTTTACTCTATAAAGGTAGCGATAAGGTTGCTGAATGTCTATCGGAAATCACCTCTCTACTTTATAAAGGTTGGGATAAGATTCCAGGCTCCTCTATGAGATTATACTGAGTATGTTGTTGTAAGTTAGTGAACTCGTAACATTTTTATTTTCAAATCATGTTATGGAAAATGATTTTCTTGAGCTGAATGTCTATCGGAAACAACCTTTAACCTATAAAGGTAGATATAAGGTTTCAGACCTCACTTATGATATTATACTATTATACTGAATATGTAATTAATGTGCAAGTGGATTTAGTGTTTTGGTGCAGAAAAAAGTATGGTTGAAATTGGAAAGCTACACATGCCTAATATTCTGAATATACTTTTGCTCTTTATGCTATGAGCTTCCATAAGGACTAAGCTTTAGGGTACTAGTGTAGTGTGCTAAAATCCAGAACACCATTTTTGACAATTTGTGTGTTCTGATCTTGAATAGGATAGCAAGAACCAAAGGTGGTTGCAAGATGTCACTCTATTTATATCACCTAGTTTAATTCAAAACTAAAGTTCAAAATATTAGAAAGATTTGTGGTTTTAAATATGTTAGAATAATTGTGTGATTGTAGAATTCGTGATATTAAACATGTCATAATATTTGTAACAACATACCTAGTAAAATTTTACAAGTGAAGTCTAATGTGAAGGTGGTGTATATGCAACCTTACTCCAACCTTTATAAAGGTAGATAGATTGTTGCTGATAGAGATTTTCACATGGTTTCAAAATTTTATATGAAGAAATAAAGTGAAAATACCTAGTAATCAATGAAATGGTTGAAAACCATGAGGTCTAGAATTTAATTTCCAGCGGAGACAAAAAAACTAGGTGATTCTTTTCATCTATCCTAGTCTTGATGGACATAGTTACATGATACCAATTGCTAGTAGGAGGTGACATATATCTCATGGAATTAATCGAGGTGCGAGAAATTTGGCCCGAAGACCACAATCATAAAAAAGAAATATAATGTCACTATGAAATATTTGATGGAGGGTTCATGGCTTTTGGAAACTTAGAGAGCTAGTTCCATGCTGACAGTCTCTATCAATATAGAACATAGGCCACTTGTTGTCCTTGAAAACAAAATGGTAAAAGCATCTCCTTCAACTAGAAAAAGGTCGATTTCGTTATAAGAGCAAGTGTCCAAACTAGATTGCAATAGTAATTTAGTACTATCATGCTTCGATTCACGTGACACACTTTTTTTTAGTTAGTCTAAAAAAAATATCGCTTCTGCTCTGGAATAGAATCATTTATGATAGGGGCAGAGACGAATCCAAGATTATATACATGTTTATATACATAAGTTAATAAATACACGTGCACCCATTCCCTCAAACGTGGATCCCCCTTTGCTTTAGAGGCATGAATTTTAATTAATCAAACGCTAAAGCAAGTATACATGATATCAATCGAAAAAAAGGATGACATGAAATTTCTGTCTTGTCTATTCTTTTTCCTAGTGATTGAAATTTGTATATTATCTATTGGATGCCCTAGCTTGTAGCTGACTATGCCGTTGTGGCTGTGATTGAATGTTACAAATGCCAAATTCTTTAATTCCAAATGGGACCAGGTCAGTCACTTCATCTTCTGATTTTTATGTATTTTTGTTATTTAAACAATGAACTAATTCTTGATGCTAACAGAGTAAATATATAATATTAATAAAGAGTGTTAAAATCTTTTATTGATATTAGTTAATTGACGCCATTGAATCCAATGTTGCTATAGGCTTCAGAAACATTTATAAAAAATGCTAATTATCGTTGATTAATTAACGTTAAAAATCATTTTTGATATTGTGATCGTGCTCTGGTGTGCTAATGAAAGTGTACTAAATCCTCCCACACCATCATAATCAATAAAATTTAATTTGATACTGAAATCTGCAAATCTTGTGCTTTTGACTTTTCAATTGAGTGGTGGCTCTTGAAGTTTGTTAGGTGCTATATATGGTGGACCAATATTTTGTTGATCATTGGAAGTGCACTTTGGTCCTGTATTTTCTTGATAGAGGTACTTCAGAGGTTCGTGGTATTCACGATTATGAGAGAATGGATGTACTATTACGAAAATGTAGATGAAACATACAACATTCACTACTATTAGTTTTAATATAGGAATAAGGCCTAAACTAAAGAGGGTTGGAGGGAAATTAGGCCTAAACTAAAACGGGGGCCATGATCTGTAATTTATTTATCTCCTTTTTCTCTTTTTCTTTCTTAAATATTACATAGTAGTTCAAATTTAAATTCATCTTTCATACATAATCTAGCAACTTCTCTTGCCCATTAAATCAAGAATTTTGTCATTTGTTGAATTAGGGGTTTTCAGTTCTTTTTGGGTGAAAATTTAGGTTCTGATTTCTTTTTTGCCTATTTTTCCCATCTACATTTGAATTCACTCGGTATATATTGATGCAAAACCATTATTTTCTCATGGTAATAGCTTATATTTACTTCATATTCTAAAAATCTTACGTCGTCATCATAAAAGGGAATTAAAGGTCTTTGATTTTTGGAATTGAAGGTTTGTACAAATAAAATTAATAAGTATATACATGATTTTTCATGCATTAGTGCAACAATCTATTAATTTAAAAAATACAAATTTTAAAAGCTTAAGTCATCTGTGACCTTTAAAGTTGTCCACATAATTCACTTAGACACATCAATTAAAACTAGTACGTATTAAACACTTTTATCTATCCAAAACCTGTTCTTATTAGACCTTTTTCGATAATTAGTAAAAAAAATAAAATGTTTGTGATACACTTGCTATGATGGAACAAAAATGACTAATTAAAAGATGACACGTGTCACTGCCAACAACTATATAATTTATTTTTATGTTAAAAATAATGAAAATTATTTCAAATTAATTTTATATCTATTTTTTAATTAAAAAATAAATGAAATGACAACACATTTTACTCAACCCCACCCTACCCAACCCCCTTTCTTCTTCATCTTCTTCCCATCAATTTTTTTTCTCAAACCACATAAACCAATTTCACTGCAAATTACTTGCATATTCAATTTTTTTTATTCCTAATGCGTGAGAGAAATATATTCAAAGATACTAATACAATAGTAATGAAAAAGTTTGTCAATGGTTACTCATCCCGAAATCGATTGCAAAGAAAAATCGAGAGGACCCAAATTAATTTTATTGAAAATTATTTTTCATAAGAGTGATGAAGAAAGAGAGTTTGCCAATGGTTAATCATCTTGAAATCGATTGCAAGGAGAAATCAAGAAGACGTAAATTAATTTTATCGAATTATCTGATATTGTTTTTGATAAGTTTAGTGGGTTTACAATTTAATTTGAATGGAGATATTTATTCGAATGTGGCTGAAAATGAAGATGGAGCGTCGACTAACTTTTTTATCCAGATGTTCACAAATCTGCTTTCTTTATTTTTCTTGCAAATTCAGTTAGTTGATTCAGTTTTTTTTTAATAATTATTGAAAAGAAATAGAAATGAAAAAAAAAAAAAAAAAAATGGAGATTCTTTAGTTGTCTTTGAAAATTTAAAGTTGGTGAAGAAGATGACTTGAACGGGTGAGGGTGCTCTTTCTTTTTTGGATTAAGAATTATTATTTTTAAAAATATTAAAAAAATATTTTAATTTTGTTTAATGCCAAGTGTCAATTAAAGAAGAAAAAGTGTAAGTTATTTTGGAAAAAATAAAAATAAAACATTATTTCAAAAAAATTCACGCGCCCAAGAAGTGAAAAACACTTCTTTTGCCATATCAGTATTTTGTGTTTAATAGGTACATTTTTTAAACAATTTAAGTGTTCAATAGGTAATAGTCCTAGTTAAGGTGTCTAAAGGAAATATGCGGACAACTTTAAGGGATCGCGAATGACTTAAGCCAATTCTAAATGAATGTAAAGTCGAATGCATACATGAATATGTATACTTATTTTAATGCATGCATATTTAATACTTGGGATAATACATATATTGGACCTTAAACTTGGCTTCAAATTTTAACTTTGACCTCCAACTTTCATAGTGCACAAACAAACACTTTAACTATCCAACCTTTTAATAAATAACACGCGATTTTTGGAGCCAAGAGCGTGAAATGCAAACGCTGCCACGTGTATTAGTGAGCCACTCAATGGCTGCCAACTAATTAAATACTTTACACGTCCATTTTAGAACTAAAAAAAAAATATTAATTAAGGGTAGAGTTGTCATTTCAGC